TCATAGTCTGTGAGATCTATCAAAATAGTGTTGTCTGAAAACCTTGTTTTCCTATTTTTTTTCTTCTGATGACTCATACTTCAGTGCTTTCATGCCTAGATTCTTTTTTCTTTCTTGTTTCTCATCATGTTCATTCAGAAGATGTTCTTTCACTAGTTCCAAAATTTGTATTTCTATATTCTGTCAGTTTTCATCTTGAAACATACACACAGCAATATGCTCGGAATTATAAAATTCTGCATTAAATCCCAACACTTAAAAAACCCCTCATCTTCTCAATACAGGTTTACCTGCACTTCTGTTCTCATTTTTATTTAGTACAAATTTATTAACATTTTAATTTCATTAGTGCTTGAAACTCTATTTTATCTGTTAGGAAGATTTTGGCTATGAGAAACATAAAAACCAATGTTAAGTGGCTTAAACAACAAGGGTACTTGATACCTCATACATGAATATGAAAGGTATGGTGGCTTCAAGGTTAGCTGAATGAGTAATAATGGTCTCAAAGACTCAGGTTCTTCCTGTCTTTCTCTTCAGTCATTCTTTTCTTTTAAGTCAGTTTTATTGAAGCATAACTTACCAAAAAAAATCATTAATTTTAAGTGTACAATTAAATGAATTTTGACAAATGTATAATCATATAATCACTACCACAATCAAGAAATTAAACACCTCTATGATTCCAAAAAGTTCAGTTAGCCCCTTTGCAGTCAATCCCACCCTCCCAAACTAGGCCCTGCCAATTTCAATGGAATTATACAGTATGTACTCTTTTGCATCTTCTCTCCTTCACAAAGCATCATGTTTTTGAGATCCATCCAGGTTGCTGCTTATATCAATAGTTTGTTCCTTTTTATTGCTGAGTGACAGTCCATTGTGTAGGAGATATATTGCATACCACAATCTGTATACCCATTCACTAGTTGATGGGAATTTGAGTTGTTTCCAGTTGTTGACTATTACATAGGAAGTTGTTATAAATGTTCACATACAAGTCGTTGTGTACATAGAGGTTTACGTTTCTCTTGAGTAAATACTTAGGAACATGAATGCTGGGTCATACGCTAACTATATGTTTAACATTACAAAAAACTGATGAACTGTTTTCCAAAATAGCTGTACTATTTTGAATCCCTACTACCAGTGTAAGAAAGTTCCAGTTACTCCACATACTTACTAAAACTGGGTATCTTAGTGCTTTGTGAAGAGCAAAATTTTTAATTTTTATTAAGTTAATTTATCAGTTTCTTCATTTAGGTTTTCAGCTTTCCCCCACCCCCCACCCCGGGGTACATTCTAATTACACAAATTCAAAGATTACAAAGATTTACCAAATCCAAGATCATAAAATCTTTCTCCCAGGTTTTCTTCCAAAAGTTTTATAGTTTTAACTCTTGTATTTAGATTTAGGCTTATGATCAATTTCAAGTTAATTTTTATGTGGGGTATAAATTAAGGGTTGAGGTTCTTTTCTTTTTTCCTCTCTTTCTTTCTTTCTTTCTATAATAGATGTGATAGATAGATGGATGATCGATAGATGTTCCAAGTGTTCTAACCTCATTTGTTGAATGTTCTGCAATTTCTAGTGTGTTAGATTTGTACTTTGTTCTATACTCATGGTCACAGATGACTGCAAAAATTCCAGGCATCACATTTGGAATGACATGCAGGAGAGACCATCTCTTCATAGAAGTGTACAGGAAACTTTTATTCATCTTCTTATTACCTACACTTCATACATGCTTCCTGTCTAAATCAATCAGTGGAAAGGGGAATGGGACCACCATTATTCATTTATTCTTTTAACAAGAAAATGGCATGTTTTCTATATGCATTCTAGGGGCTAGGAGTACAGTAGTGATGAGGAGAGTAAAAATTGTTGCCTGCTTTTATGGAGCATACAATTTACTGAAGAATACTATTTGCCTATTTTCAAAATAAATAAGTAACCAGTATAATATGTTGTTGTACAGTATTAAGCACTGGGAGGGAAAAAGGAAAAGGGACTATGAAGTATTGTGGGTAGGTTGAAAGTTTAGATAGGATAGTTAGGAAAGGGCTCACGGAGTTGACTTTTGCATAGGAGACCTGAAGAAGGTGATAAAGTAGGCCATACAGATATCAGATTGAAGAGTGGTCCAGACAGAATGAAAAGTGCAATAGTCCTGAGAACAGCAAGGAGGCCGCAGTGGTTGCAGAAAGTAACAGAAAATGGGGGAGGTACAGAACCATGTAGATCATTGTAGGTAAGTCATTCTCAACCAGCAGCAATTTTGGCAAAATTTACAAATTTTGGTAATGTCTGGGGGACATTTTTGGTTGTCACAACCTGTAGTACTACAGAGGCCCAGGGTGTTGATAAATGACCTATAATGCACAGGAGAATCCACTTTTGACTATCCTCCCCTTTGTCAACAATGAATTATCTGGCCCAAATGTCAGTAGTACCAAGGTTGAAAAACACTGTTTTAGGTCATAGTGAGGACTGGCTGACAATGACTGAATTAGAATGTCACTGAAGAGTTTTGAGCAGAGAAATGATCTAAGCTTTTAAGCTGTTTGTTGCGAATAGACTGAAGGGGTAGAAGGGTTAGAAATACGACAGCTTTTAGGACGGTACTACCAGTATCCAGGAAAGACATGGTGGTTTGGACCAGAAAGATAGAAGTAGGAGTGGTAGGAAGTGATGGATTCTGGATATATTTTGAAGGCTGAGCTAACAGGATTTACGAACTGCTATGAACTAAATGTTTGTGTCCTCCTAAAATTTGTATGTTGAAACGTAATCCCCAAGGTGATGGTATTTGGAGGCAGGAGCCTTTGGGATGTGACTGAGTCATGAACTTGGCCAGACTCAGGACTGTGAGGAATACACCTCTGTTGTTTATAAACCACCTAGTCTGTGGTATTCTATTATAGCAGTGGGAAAGGGCTATGATACTAACATACTAGGTATATATATGTATGAAACAGAGGAGCCATGTATGACCCCTTAAGAGTAATCTGTTGTGCCTGGTGCTATTGTTGTATCTTCCCAAAGATAGTAACCTGGGGACTGGGTAGAAACCTGAACCAATTTGGAATGGCAGATTTAATGCCCATATAAACGTCTGGGCAGGCAAACAACAGCATCTGTTACGTATGTATCTTATAGAAATAAGAATGGATGTTGTTAGATTAGTGAGTGACTATCTTAAAGGGCATGATTATTCTATGTATAGACTATTGAGTTTCTTTAAAAATGCTTTTTTATCCACATGAGAGATTTTTTAAAAGTGTCTTCTCATGCCATCTTTCATTTGGTGACAGTTTGATAGATGCAGGAAGTCTTAAAACCCTATTCCATCAAAGTCATTAAAGGATTTTGACTTCCAGTATTTGCATCCCAAGCAATTACTGACTTCCCACATAAGATGTTGATGTATTGTTTAAGAATTGCTTTCTGAGCATGTTTTGCCTAACCTAAAATATTATAAGCTAACTATGAGTCCTTATTATATGTTAGAAAACTACTTATGTCTTTCACTTAATTATCATCATAATCTTCTAACCAATAACCTGACAAACTCTACTTAGGCTTCTTGACCAAACTCTACTTAGACTCCCCTGAACTCTTCCTCAAATAGGCCTTGACTTTTGGACTTCCATGTTCTCTCTATACTGTCCAATCTTAGCAAACATCCTGCTAAGTTTAGCCAGAATCTCTCCATTCTCCATATCTAATCCAGTTCCTCATCCTCCACCACCCCACCGTGATGTCTGATCACCTTGATTCTGTTAGCACCATCTAACCGGAATCCTCTCCTCTCCCCTGATATTTCCTCTTAGTAATTTTCCATCCACTGACCCCCACCCAGGTCCTCGGCTATAAATTCCCGCTTTTCTTTGCTGTATTTGGAATTTAGCATAGCTCTTTCTGCTATTTCAAGAGTTTTGAATAGTCTTCCTTACCATTTTAAGAAATGTCGGAATAATTTTTTCTTTAACAAACCTCCTTAACCTGAATAACTAGGGTTATTTCCATTTCACAGATCAAAAAAAAAAAAAAGAAAAAAATGAAAGTTTTGTAAAGTAATTACGTTTAGTCAAGATTATCCAACTAGTAAATGGATCTTGAGACAATATGCCTCTGAGAACTTAAACGCTGTGTTATAGGCCTTCCTGCTCACACAGGCTTCTTGCTCTAGAGGCCCGGCCAGTGTGACTGGCTGCCCGGGTAAATGCTCAGTAAGGACCGGCCTGTTGACTTGGAAACTCTGGGTACCGAGATCATGGTACAAGAGGCCTGAAATTCCTTCTACACAAATGCACACCAAACTGATCTGATGGTGTAGACCCGCCGCCGCCTCTTCGTCTCTGCGTCCCCGAGCGCTTACAGGCCGCCTTAAAGAGAACGCTGGCCGCGGCCTAGGCGAGGTTCCGTGGGCCGGGCCGCAGTCTCCGCCCAGAGCGAGCTGTGTCGGGCGCGCGCAACGCCGCGGGCCCAGGTGCAAGAAGTTAGTTTGGCCCCTTCCGCGGGCCGCGCCGGCTCCGGGCCCGCCTCCCCGCGGGATTGGAGGCCCGCGGCCCCGCCCGGCCCTAGTAGGCCGGCGGGAGGCGTTTCGCGGTCTGGCGGCGGGGACGCGGAGGGCCTGGTTAACCTCCTCTCGTCCCCGGGTCCTGGGGGTCGCGTCGGGACCCCACACTTCCGCGCCCCGCTCTCCGCCTGCCCGGCCCGCGTGGCGCCCCAGCCCGGGGAGGAGCTGCGGTCGGAGAGAGACGCCGGGGCCTCCGGGCCGCGCCTCAGCCCCGGACGGGCAGCGGTCCCTGCTTTCGCGGTTGGTCCTGACTTTTTTCTAACTCAGTGCGTGAACCTCGCCCCCCTTCAACTCCCGTTCGCCCAGAGGCGGGGCGGAGGAGTGAGGCGGGGAAGGAGATTGGGTTTCTCTTTTTGTCGGTCTAGAGGGAGCTTGAGTCGGGAAGTGAGTCTCCAGACGCCGGCGAGCTTCGGGTGGTTCGGGCCGGCCGGGCGTGGGGGTGTCTTGGGCCGCCGAGCAGGACGGGCGGGCGGGCGGGGGGCCGCGCTGCCCCGCCCCTGCCTCCGCTCTCATGGCCCTCCGCCATGGCCGCCCCCAAGCCCAGTCTTGGCTAGGGTTCAGGTCTCTGGGTAGTGGAAACTCGTGTTGAAAACTTTTCATCGCAGCTCTGGGAGGGGACCCCAAAGCAGCAGGGACGTCTGTGTCGGTACTGGCCTTGAGAGGAGGCTGGCGCTTCCTCCTGTGAACTTGAACTCCGCATCCATGCCCAGAATGCGCATTGTATAGTAAGTCACCTTTCAGGTCTCAAGTTCTGATGCCACAGAGTTGCCCCCAAACTGTGTTTGTCTTCTTTATACTGATTGAGAATTTATGCCCTGCTGAAAAGTTGTTCTCTGTAGACTTTAGTTTTTAAATCAGCAAATAAATGTTGGGCCCCAGTACATAAAGTACTGGTCAGTATATATAAAGTACTGGTTAAAACTTTTCCTGTTTTGGGCATTGTTCATTTAAATTCCTGGCTTCCCTTGTGTTCGCGTTAGGAGGAGGACAGGTGAATATTGTTAAAGATTTCTGCTGTGTTCCTTTGCTCTACCTGGGGTGTTGCTGCTGAGTAAAAGGTAGGGCGTTGATTAAAGTTAAGTGAAGCAGGGAAAACCTACTAAAAGGAACAGAAACCTTGTCATTCTGAAGATGGATAGCGTATACAATGAAAACTTTCATTTCAAAAGCACTCACCAGTTTTAAAAAATTCTTTGGAAATACTTAGAAGACGGCAGTTACTTTCACAGTTAGTTTCAGGCCTATATGCTGTGTGTGTTTTTTCCGAAGAAATTTTCTCTTCCGACTCAAAAATCTCTGGTGAATTTCACTAACCTGTGTACAATTATAATTAATTGGGTAAAGTTGGATGGCTCTACTATGGAGTACATACTTTTCTTGTTTTGTTTGCGGTACGCGGGCCTCTCACTGTTGTGGCCTCTCCCGTTGCGGAGCACAGGCTCCGGACGCGCAGGCTCAGCGGCCATGGCTCACGGGCCCAGCCGCTCCGCGGCATGTGGGATCCTCCCGGACCGGGGCACGAACCCGCGTCCCCAGCATCGGCAGGCTGACTCTCAACCACTGCACCACCAAGGAAGCCCTGGAGTCCATACTTTTGTTGTTGGCAGTACTGTATTAATCTCTAAGACAGGGCAGTTTTCACTTTGGTGAGGGTGCGGAAGGGACAGGATATAGAGGAACAGAAAGAAGCTGAAAGAGTAGTGTGCCAGCCCTAAAACTGCACAGTGGCCTAGTGCTCTGCTTAATTATACATCCATGAAAACCCAATGCTTTGCTCATTTAACAGATATTTACTGAGTACCTACTCTGTGTCAGTTGCTGGGCTTGGTAATGATGTACATTGCCGTCGTCCATGTTTTCCCAGTCAAAAGCTGTATTTTCTTTCCTAGTGACTGAAGACCTTCTCATCTTTGACACGTAGCATTCTTAGTGAAAGGAGTATTTTCATATATATGAAATTTATTTTCTCTTTGTAATTGGATATTGTTAACTCATTTCTTAAGGTGTATTCTGCACTGTTAATAGGTATTTTGACTGCCTAACTGAATTTCGGAAATGTTAAGTGAGGTTCAGCAGGTTTGTTTGTTTTTCTAACATCAGTGCCTCTTAGATTTCAATATTGTAATGTTGGTGAATCTCCAATTTGAATAAAATGTGTGGGCTTTCCTAAACCCAGTTGACTTCAGAATCCTAATTTCTGGGAACCTGGGAAAGTGCCCCATAGAAGACATTTTGAGAAATGTATTTTAACTGGAGTTTTCTTAGTTGTTGTTTTTATTTTTAATCACTATCTCACCCCTCTGCCAACAGAAGTGATGCCACCAAGAAGAAAAGAGAAATACAGACTTCCTGTTCCACTTCCAGAAGGCAAGGTCCTGGGTGATGTGGAAGGAAAACAGTGGGTGCTGGGCAAGATGATTGGCTCTGGAGGATTTGGTTTGATATATTTAGGTAAAGTATAAATCACCAAATATTCTTATATATGTGACTATACCTGTGACTTCTTAATAATATTTTGAGAATTGAAACTTTGAAATAAGATATAATCCATAAATGTACTTTTCTAAGTCGTATGAAGATAATGTTTAGTAGAATGGGTTCAAGACATGACTGACCCCAGTCCTTGTTGTCCATGTTTTTCTGAATGACTCTTAGAAGTCTTTTCAGAGCATAATTACACAGTCTGCCAGACAAAATGTTAATGTTCTTTTTCGAGAGTGTTTTCCTGGAAACATTGCTTTTTACAGCTCAGAGAATGCAACTGTATGAATACAAACACTTTCCATTTGTGAATCTTAATCATTAATATTTAAGTAGTACAAGGTTCTGGTCATTTCTTAACTAGGCCTCACTAGAGAACTTGGCCTTCATACTTCAAGGCATCTATTGCATGGAATGAATTAACTTCTCTCCTGTACATCTAGAATGGTACTAGTTACATGCCATCTTGGGATAATTGTGTTTTTTGTTTTTTGTTTTTTTTTTTGCGGTACACGGGCCTCTCACTGTTGTGGCCTCTCCCATTGCGGAGCACAGGCTCCGGATGCGCAGGCTCAGCGGCCATGGCTCACGGGCCCAGCCGCTCCAAGGCATGTGGGATCCTTCCGGACCGGGGCGCAAACCTGTGTCCCCTGCATCGGCAGGCAGACTCTCAACCACTGCGCCACCAGGGAAGCCCCTGTTTTTTTCTTTTAATTAATTTATTTTATTCACTATTTTTTATTTTTGGTTGCATTGGGTCTTTGTTGCTGTGCGCGGGCTTTCTCTAGTTGTGGCGAAGGGGGGGCCACTCTTCGTTGCGGTGTGCAGGGTTCTCATTGCTGTGGCTTCTTGTTGTGGAGCATAGGCTCTAGGAGCGCGGGCTTAAGTAGTTGTGGCACTCGGGCTAATAGTTGTGGCTCGCAGGCTTTAGAGCGCAGCCTCAGTAGTTGTGGCACACGGGCTTAGTTCCTCCGCGGCAGGTGGGATCTTCCCAGATCAGGGCTTGAACCGGTGTCCCCTGCATTGGCAGGCAGATTCTTAACCACTGCGCCTCCAGGGAAGCCCCCATCTTGGGATAATTAAGAAATTAGACACTCATTTAGTTTTTGTGTTCTTTGGTACAGGTAAGGAGCCTGAGTTGAGTATACTTTTACACTACATTTTAAAATTACACTGACTTTAAAAGGATTATTCAGGGCTACCTTGCATCTGTAGTTTAATGATCAAGAAATATCCATTAGAAGATCAGATTTAATGAATAAAATAAGATAAATATTAGTGATTAAAAATATGCCCTCGGGCTTCCCTGGTGGCACAGTGGTTGAGAGTCCGCCTGCTGATGCAGGGCACGCGGATTCGTGCCCCGGTCCGGGAAGATCCCACATGCCGCGGAGCGGCTGGGCCCATGAGGCATGGCCGCTGAGCCTGCGTGTCCGGGGCCTGTGCTCCGCAACGGGAGAGGCCACAACAGTGAGAGGCCCGCGTACCGCAAAAAAAAAAAATGCCCTCAAGGAGCAGTTCTTCTAAATATATTGACTCATTATATGTGTGTCTGTAGGAATTTAAGAAGTTGGTAAAAGACCTTCATTGGAGGAATCTTGGGTTCCTCATTAAACATTTCAAAGTGTAGGGAAGGAAGGACTTTCCCTCTATCTTCTTAAGCTGGATACCTGGGTTTATGAAATAAACTGACAACAGGCAGATTAACAGGAGAAAAGGTATACAAATTTATTAATTTTTTTAATGTTACATGCACAGTAATATCAGGGAAAGAAAGTGAATAAATACCCTAAAACACGGTGAGATTTGAGAGCTTACATACCGTCTTAATAAGGGAAGGGGAGACGGGATACAGGCCACTTAAGGGACAGTAAATGATTTTTAGGAAAGATTAATAACCCTTAGAAGAGTAGATGTGGGCTATGATAGTTCATAACGAAGTTTGGGAGTGGTGTCAACTTCTCATCTCTTCTGTGATGAGTCAGTCTTTCCTGGTTAATGAAGTGCTCCTGGAGGGCATTTAAAACAATGGAGGTTTTTTTTTTTTTGGAGGCTCTGTCTTTAGGCAAATAAAGGGAGTTCAGAGGAAGCCTCTCCCTACATTTGCTATTTTTCAAATGCCTTTAGTTCAAAATAATCCTTATGCCAACGAGGCATCTTTTAGGGTGGCATATTCTGCCACCCTTGTTACACAAGCATGTTTCATGGCTCATGAAGGATAAAGCTTCTCTTCTGATAAAATTAAGATCGTAGTTTTGAACAAATGGATGAAATCCAGTTAATAAGTAACTTATTAATCACCTGAGTGTCTAATCTAGTTGGAAAGATAAGGCCAACACAAAATTATTGTATGGGTTAAATAAAGAACAGCTTCCCCATTTAAAGGATTTGAACTTGCTTGAAAAATGCTATGATTCTAAGTACTAGATTGAGTGACACAGACAGCACTGTTCAACAGAAATGTAATACAAGCCATGTGTGTAAAGTAAAATTTTCTAGGAGCCACATTAAAAAAAAAGTAAAAAGAAACAAGTGAAATTTAATTAAATAGTATGTATTATTAAATACAATATATCTAAAGTATTATAATTCCAACATGTTATCAATATTAAAAAAAGGAAATATTTCACTTTTTTAAAGTCTTTAAAATCCAGGATTTGTCTAGTCATATTTCAGGGGCTCAATAGCTACGTATAGGTAGTGGCTACCACATTAGATGGTGCAGATGAAGACCCTGAGAGCACTTGGGATCTACAGAGAATAGAATTCTTTGTAGAATAAGTGTTGGCTGAGACTCTGAATTAGTGAATTCTCTTGTATGGCAGAGAGTAAGGATCTCTAGTACATTGTCTTGACTCAAGGTCAGAGAAATGGAGTTGAATAAATTATTTCTGATGTGGCTGAGCTATAGCCTTGGATTGCACAGCTTATCAGTTAAACTTTCAGTTTTCTAATGTTTGAATTATTTGAATAATTTCAAAGAACTACAGAAAAGCATTGATTGTGATGATCTTGTTTTCTCTTTTTTAGATGTACATATTGTATGTGTTATATGTATTTAAATTTAAGTGCATGTTTAAACTTAAATTATATGTCTATACACATATACATAATGTATGTGTACATATATGTGTATACATACTCAACTACTTGTGTGGTTCCTGTTGTGAAAAAGGAATTTATTTGCTTAGGCATGTGATTTATTTGTCCCTATTTAAATACAGAAAAATCCTTGCTTCTTTCAGTCCAAGTACTGCACATATTTTTTTACTTATTTTTTTCTCAGTAAGATTTATTTTGCAACAATTTTCAAGGTTTCATATGTTATGAAATACCCCCTACTATCTGAATTTCAGAACCTGGATCCTGGAAATATAAGCAAGTACACACGTTGGGGGAAGGACTTTAAATAAATGTTTAGCTGTTTTGAGGAGAAGTCTCCATACTTCAGAATATATAATAAAGCTGTGTGTTCCAAGTGTTGTTATTGTTTTATCAGAAGTGGCATTCATAAATCAAAATCAGCTCTTCAGTGAGTTGCCATCAGCAACAACTTCATTAAAATTAGCTTTTACTTATTTTCAAAGCTAAGCAAGTCCATATGAAATTATATCATGCTTTTGCATTTTACCATGGTTCTCATCACTTCCTGTATATAAATGAAGAAGTAGGTAAATTCAGGTTTCTTTTGTGTCCTTCGTGTCCAGCTACATTCTTTTTAAGCATCATATTTGCCAGATGTACTCTTTCAGCAGACACTTCATCAGCATTTGTTACCAAAGGCTGAGAAGAAGCTAACCGCTGTGTCTAACCCATTGTGTGTGCAGCTGTCCTCGAGCTTTGAGGTCAATATCCAAGGCCTTTCAGTAGCCAGCAAGAAGAACGGGGACGGGGCAGAACTATTTCATATTTACTCTTGACTTGGAGCAATAATGTGCCTGTAGCGTTAATAGAAATAGTAATAAGAGGGAAAAGAAAAGTCTGAATACAAGACAGAGTTCTTTCTTTGTATATGAAAAGAGAGGAGGGGAAAAGGGAGAATGGAAACTGGTTTAGGGGGTGGATGGAAAAAATTGCTGTTATTTTGGGATCAAATAAGTGAAAAAAATTTCTAAAATTTCCGGAGAGAGAACTAAGAGTGTAAATTCTACTTTATTGCTAGGTATAACATAGAACTAAGCAAACTGAGGGAGAATTGCACAAATAAAAGCATGGGCTTTGGTGTTAGGCAAATTTGGGTTGAATTCTGACCTGACTAAGCCTTTTGCAAACTTGAGTGACTTTCACCTATCCACGAGTCTTTGTTTCTATTCTGTATGTTAGGGGTAATAATAATAGTGATGATTAAGATAAGGTTTTTAAAAACTTGGAACTCGATAAGCAGTTCAATCTAATTTATTTATTTATTTAGAATTTCCCATTCTCAGTGATAGTTGAACTCTAAATTCAGTGTCTGGTGCCGCAGGAGATTAGGATGGTGACAAAGACATCTACTGGAGGGTTTTTCCATTTGTCCTGCCATGGACTGCGATGGATTTAGCTACTAAATGTGGTAAAACTAAGAACATAAGAGAATGTCAGTGGAATGACATTTTACTTACCAACCTCTATCTATTTTTCCCACTAAAATTTACAATAGTAGCCATGATGACATAGTGAAAAGTTCTCATTTAAGCTGTCATCTTATGTTTCAGATATGAAAGATACCGTGTTTCAGAAATTAGTCAAAAATCTAGAAAAAACAGGGCTTCCCTGGTGGCGCAGTGGTTGAGAGTCCGCCTGCCGATGCAGGGGACATGGGTTCGTGCCCCGGTCCGGGAAGATCCCACATGCCGTGGAGCGGCTAGACCCGTGAGCCATGGCCGCTGAGCCTGCGCGTCTGGAGCCTGTGCTCCGCAACGGGAGAGGCCACAACAGTGAGAGGCCCGTGTACCAGAAAAAAAAAAAAAAAAAAAAATCTAGGAAAACAG